AGAATTTTATCACAGGTTTCACACTTCAGGGCACCTCAGCCATCAAGCCTCACGAAACTGCAGAAGAGCGGGAGGTGAGGATGGGGTGGAGGGAGGGCACCTTTGCACTGTAGGAACTCCCACCCGCCGAAGGGAGCTGAGGCATAAGCAGTTCCCGCATAGCACGGCTGTAGCCTGCTGGCTGGACCTGATAGTGCAGAGAGAAGTTTGGATCCCAGCTCTGGCTCCAGGGACCTTCCCTGTGTTTCATGCTCAACAATCGTTACCTAAAAAATTCCAGGTCAAATCCTAAATCCGAAAGTGGATTTTGAGCGTGATAGATGGGATAACACACAGTTTATTGGGCTGAAATTTTGCCCATAGGCAGATTGGATGTGGTTGTATTTTTTTTTTTCTATTCTGCCTTAGTCTCTAAGCATCAGTTTGCCTATCCATCAAATACAAATCATTATCCTTCGTTTGTATCAAATACTATGACGACAATATTTGTTCTGTGAGTTAACTGTTAAATGTACAGGTGAGACCCAAGATACCCAAGATTCTTTATCTGGCATATAAAATAGACCAAAAAAGGATGGTGGAGGTAACAAAATAGCTGCTCAGCAGAGCCACATCTGGTAAACACAAGAAAGATCGTGGTTAATTCCCAGTCTGTTTTACAACCACCCGGATAAGAGAGAAGACAGACTGATATAGGGTTGGATCTACTGCTCCGCGACGCTCGAGGAGTTTAAAGCATCTCACGGTGCCGTTCTCAGCTCTGCAGCACCCCCACCTGGGATTCATCGGGCAAGCGACACAACAGGCTGAAATAATTGGTGTCAGGATGCTAAAGACAATGAAACTTTGCTTTGCTCTTATTGAAGCCTTAGAGAGTCCGTTTTTGGAGGAAATCCAGAGGGGCATCCCCCCAGAATTATTCTTTGGAACTCTGGATAAGTAGCCAAATTTGTTTTGAAGCCAATTGTCACTGAGTTGCTCACTATTTCTGGTGCCAGGTCATTAATCTTGAGCCTGGGCAGGACATTGTGTTAAAACGATTTTAATTTGATAACTCKTTTACTGGGATGGCTAGAACTCAGATCACGGCATGGTGTATTCCTGTGCAGGACCCGACCCCATATTTCAGCTTGATTCCAAGTCACTGAAAGACTCAGAAAGCAATCATTAAGTCACTGTCAAGACCCACTGTCACGGGTACATCCCCTAATAAACTTCCAGGGTGCTCCCTCTTACTTTCCCTGGCTTTTCTCCCCATGCTGTTTGCAGGTGCACAGAGTGACCTGTCAGCCGATGTTTCAGACTAGCACCTTGGCATGTAAGAGGAATCTGTAAAAATTCCTTTGGAAAGCATATCTAAAATTAGTTGCTTCTGAAACACATTGTGTCACATATCACTGGAGTCACCAGAGGCAGCACCTCAGGTACCTTGTGCTGCCTCTCTACAACTGGTCTGCTGTATAGAATTGCTGTCCTTCACCACCACTTCAGCCAGCAGCTGGGCTTCTTTCCAGCACCACTTTCCAAATCTAAAGAAGCATTGGGTTGACTGTGAAAACAGTATGCCAACTTGATGTGTGATCTTTTCTCCATAATAGACAAATGTAAATCTTACATTAGGGTTAGAAAGCAACTGTGATGTGCAACGGCTATAGAAACAGGTCTGCCAAGTTTTTGTTTCATCAARGAGAAACAAAAGCACAGAAAATCTACCGACTCCCTTCTCCACCTCTTCCCTGGAAAAACCCACAACCTTTAAAACTCTGTTTCAAACTCTTGTTCAAAATCATATAGGTAGAGTAGTAGAATATCAACAGATTTTAAAGTGCCTCCTCAGAAAACTATGCTCAGATATATTCAATTTTTTTAATATCACAGCCACTGATTGCCATTCACAGCTCAAATACTCCATCAGGTACCTTGCCCTGAAATTAAACTGCTTATTTATTATCTTTTTGATTATAAATTCATATTAATTTCACTTATATTTACTTGAAATATTCCACAAGAAGTCAAGGGAGAGTGCAGATGCTTCCTGTTGCCTTTAGCTATCACAAATGGGGCAAAGACAATTGTGTTTAGCAAAGATTCTCATTAATCACATGCAAAGACAAATCCTAGATGTGCTGTGCTTTACAGACAAAGATTGAATTCAGATTTGAATAGTCAGATTTGAAATTTCAGCCTCTCTTCAMAAGATATCTCAGGCCAGACACCTCAATCAAAAGATACAGAAGAGATTAACAATTTGAAATCAACAAGTTTGTATTTGAGTGAACTTACTTCCTGGCAAAAATCTGCTAGCAGAAGCTGCAATTCAGTTTCAAACACATACAAGCATTAGACAGATATTGCATTTATATRCTTTCATAGTGTTACACATTTAACATCATAAGGTTTAAAAATAAGCTAAACAACTGATAGGAGTTGTTTCCCAGGACACTACCCCTGTTCCTGGTTTGCTTTTCATTTAGATTCATCACTGTATTATAGACTTGTTAACCCTAGGGTTTGCCATTTTCAATTTCTGTGAATCATTACTGTACAGACAGGCTTGAGAAGAAAACAGGTCACAGTGAGAGGCTGTTAGTCACACAGTCCTCCTGCTTCCTTCCTTCCTGTTGCATAAGCCTGTCAACTTTTCTGCTCRAAGGAGACAGATAAATACAGGAGTGACCGTCATCTTTATTACCTGACATAACAAGCCTAGGAATAGCTACAGTGCTATTGTGACACTTATGGAGGTGCAGACCTATTCTCTGTTGGATATCACTTCTCAGTTTCTCTTTTTACTTTCCTTTTCAGTGCAGAATCACAGTACTCACTGATTAGAACTGTTCTCCCAGTGGCTGTATTCTCTGTGAARGTCACAGAAAACTAATCTTACATAGGATTTCTCTTACACTAACGATTTGTAAGCATCGTTTATTATCATTATGCTGCTTATTATCACTGGCAACAAAGGTCCTTAAAACATTTTCTCTGGGACAGACTTTGTGTTAGGGGTTAAATGCTGGTCCCTGGTGGAGGCTTCACTTCTGCTGTAAAGGTAAACCCTCTCACTGGGCGCTAGAGGGCACAAAAACATCCTTTCGATACACAGCATCTTAGAATCTTAATACACTACTCCCTAGATGTAAAAATTCACACAATAAACTTCGTATTAACCCTAGGAAACGACGTAGAGAAAAGTTCAAGTAGTTCCTGCACGGTTATGTTYTAATATATTTCATTTAGGCTAATTAATTTCTTCTCTAAGATAGACGACCATACCACAGTATATAATTGGTATGAAGAAAACGCACACACACACAAATACGATATTAGCATTTCCACACGAATTTATACTGCAAGTATTGTGGATCACAAAACTGTGCTGTGACATCTGATAAAGTGAGAGGGGACACATTCATCTAGTTGAGTTGCTGAAGAAATCAATCAATCTAAGTGCTGTATGTGTTTGTACTTGACAGTGGCATCTATGATGGCTTTGGCTGCGTTTGTGACTGAACTCATTGCTGCCTTGAAGAAACAAACCTGGCTATTTCCGAGCAGTTTAAAAGGAAGTGCTGATCTCTCCTCTCCTGGATCCACTGACAGTGGGAATGGTTCAAAGCTGCACCAGGGCAGGTTCAGACTGGATATCAGGAAGAATTTCTTTACTGATCATTCAGTGTTGTTTCCTCTAATTTACCCCAAGCGATCTGTTAACAAGAACATGTGTTACCCTCACCTTCTGCAGTGGGTTGCAACTGCTGTTGCACGTTAAAAGCTTCAGCAATTCTTGACACGAAGATGGGAATCTTTGTGTTCCAAGGTCATCCCAGTGCCTAAATAAAAAAATCATGCCTGCAACCTGCAGTTTGATTTGAGGGTCAGTCTTTAAGAATGGGTGTTTGGTTTCCCTCAAGCTGAAGAAAATCCAACTCATGAGCTTTCTAAATAAGCAGACTAATAAGCAAATACTGCAGCTGTATTAAAAAAAAAAAAAAAAAAAAAAAAAAAAAAAAAAAAAAAAAAAAAAAAAAAAAAAAAAAAAAAAAAAAAAAAAGCAAAGGAAAAAAAATAGTATCGCTGCTGTCCTCAGCTGTGTCCAACCCCTGCCTCAATAAAACCAATATAAAATCAAGTTTCATAATAGGTTTCAGAGAAAAAAAAAAGTTATTCATCTTCTCTAGAGGGTTTSAGGCTACAGATCAATACTAAACGTACTTTAGATTACATCAGAGGAGTGCACCTATAACATATCTGAAGAAGAGTATTTAAGCTACAAACCCATGCCAAATTCCTCCAATAGGTGAGTCATTCATAAAGCACAAAGGCTGTTTCTAACCTGTATGGGAACTAAGACCAATACAGCGTTCTGAATGACGCTCAGCAGGTTAGAAAAGTGAAAGGTATTTTTAGTCTCTGTGAAGCTTAAGAGATGATTATGGGAGATAAACCAAGCCACTTGGCCTCACTTTTAAAATAAAGCTTTGAGCTGACTATCGCCACGCAGCAGTAAGATCTTCTCATTATGACAGATTATTCCACACAGATATGAGCTCAACACTCCATAGCAGTCAAAGAGAGGCACAGTTTTTATAGTAGGATTATTAGGACCACAGCACAGAAAATCATCAGACTACTGAGTATATCCAAGGCATGTCCACAGCTGAAAACTATACATASAGCTGGTTCCCTCGCCTCAAGATAGAATACAGCAGAACTGGGAAAGGGCAGAGAGGAGCCCTAGGAAGGACTGAAAGTACARAGCAGTTTCTGAACACAGATCGCCCCTGAAAAATAGTCCAGAAAAGAGGTGATTCAGCCGGCACACGCTGCAAGCCCACGAAATGCCAGCGGACAGAGAGGAAGAGCATTGACCCTTCACCACCACTCACAGTACAAAAACTACAAGTGAGGGGTATYAAATGAAACCAGATGCAAAGGAAAAAGAAAGCTGGAGCCGTGGCTGCGAGCGGCGCCGATCCTGATCCCGCCCCGCGCTGGCGCTGCTCCCGGGCCGGCCCGGACGGAACGCCGGGAACAGTTGGACTCGATGATCCTTTTGGGTCCCTTCCAGCTCTGGATATTCCATGATTCTGGGAAGGGCCGCTCCCAGCCCCGCCGCAGGTGTGCGCCGGGCCCCGGGGAGCAGGTARGGGCAGCCCGGTGTGTGCCGGGCCGGGGATCCGGGGCCGTTCCGGAGCCGCTTTCCAGAGGGCAGCACGGGACCGGGAGCGGCGCCATGCACCYGGCGATTCTCCTCGTACCTGTTCCTGATGTTCCTCACCAGAAAATCTCTCCTTTGAGTTCTCAGACAGTACCAGATTGTCAGGAGAGGAGCTCCCCGGCGCTCCCCAGCAATGGCAGGTAAGAGTAAAGGCGGATGAAAACACTGCTCGCTCCAGGCCGGGGCACCGGGCACTTGCGGGATGGGGCCGCTCTGCCGTGTTTAGTTGGGACACTGAAGTCTTAATTTTTCAAAAGACTGAAATTACCCTCAGTTAGTGATGGAAAACTCTCCAAACACTTTGCCCAAGTAACCTCAGCTCTGTCGAAAGGGAAATAATCCAACTGCTTTGCAGAATCAAATTTAGCACCTTGGGGAGCCTGTGGTGTCTCCAACCCYCGAGCTCCGTGTTTGTTGTGAGCTGGCAGGAACAGCAAAGAAGGAACTGCTCTTGATATTCCAGACTAAGATAGGGACAGGGGCTTAAAAATTTGTCCACACATTAAATTTCTGATAACGTTTGACCAACGAGTTTTAATAGACATTTTTTTTTTTTTGCACAGCTCTGGCTTCATGGACACTATGCACCCTGGAGAAATAATTAACCCTTATAATTTAGGTTAAGAATGAGTTATTCTCAATACTACCTGTTTTTAATTCAGGTATTCAGCTCAGCTTCTACTAGTCATCCCTGACACCCTAAACTTGCCTTGCCCTAAACTGACAGATGTTGCTCTGGGCTGTGCATTCAGARGCTGTGTCCCAGAGAARCTGAGTTCAGGAGATGCCTGAGTTTTGGTCTTGGCAGTGAACCGAGAGCTCCATCTTTTGCAGACACTGTCATTTTCAATAGTCTTTATAAATTTCCCTCTCTGATTACTCATAAACAACTACTACCCCATATAAAATGTTTCATCATTCTTTCTTTGCTCAACAGAAGGAGCAGTTTTTGCTGGTGGAGGGCAGTGTGATCTGCTATGGGATACACTTGCTGTCCGCTGAGTTCCACCTGGGGAAGCCCAGTGGAGCACAAAATTGCTGGGCTGGGCACATCCAGCAATTAGTGCCTCAGGAGTCACTCACTGCTGCTGAGCAGGAGTCACATGCTGCCACTCTCACTCTGCTTTCACTGTTTTTGTGCCCCTGGGAAAAGACACTACAGAAAGAGGAAGGAACAYGTCCCAGCTCCACAAACTGTTCTGCATCTGCCTCCTAGATTCCAAATGGTCTCCTGGTTTTCTTTMTGCCTGCAGGGAAAAAAGTCCTGATAGTCTATGCACATCAAGAGCCCAAGTCCTTCAATGGATCTTTGCTGAAGATTGCTGTGGAAGAATTGACCAAGCAGGGCTGCAGTGTCAYGGTGTCRGATTTGTACGCCATGCAGTTTGAGCCCAGAGCAACAAGAAATGACATTGTTGGTGAGATAAGCCAAAATACACCTTTTTCACAATACTGTGACCTGTACACCCCTTGTCAGGTATCAGAAGGCTGAAAAAAGTCTCCCTGAAGCCTTCTGCTGCTGTACAGCCCCAGCTCTCAATCTGTCTTTATAGGAGAGSTGCTCCAGCCCTCAGATCATCAAGATATTAAAAGAAACTTATTTCATTAATAAGAAACTTATTCATGACCAGATATCTGCATTTCTAAAGGTCCACTCTTGAATATGGTATTTGTATCAYGATGAGATTACTGACAAGGGGAAATGCATTAGCAGATGTCCATAATCAGTCTCTAAAATCCATTTCTTATGGGGAGGAAATGCCTTCAGATACTATTCTGGGACTTTCTACAGCTTGGTTCCTGAGGCTRCTACTGCCTCTGTCTTCTGCTAGAGACTGATGAGCTGTTGAATCAGTTCAACTGACAGGCCAATACTCTTTCCTTATCACTGGATGAGTATCGCAGTTATAGAGGCTGGAAAGCAGCTCCATAGTGCTTACAAGTGCATGATGGCCTTAGCAAACCCTAAGGCAGAGGCAGAAAAATTAAGAACATTCTCTTAAATCTTCCACCTGCATCATCAGACTTCTGAGGCAAGCTTAGATCTTTGTATTGCAGTTCACATGTTGTTATAGGAGGGTGAAGGTTTAGGACTCTGAGATTCTACATTCCACTCGATTCAAAATCAAATCACCATCAGCTGTGATGATGCTGAATATTCACCAAAGAAAAGAAAGTGAAAAAAAATGGAAAGTAGTAACTCATTCAGAACTGTAAATGACAACCTGTCTTCATCCCTTATGTGTCTCTGATACAGCACATGGGGCAGGGAATGACTTTTCACTTCTACCTACAGGTCACCTGCACAACTCAGAAGCATTCAATTATGSTGTGGAGAYRTGGGAAGCTTACAAGAGAGGAGGTTTGTCCAAAGACCTGGTTGAAGAGCAGAAGAAGGTGCAGGAAGCAGACTTGCTGATTTTTCAGGTCATTATTTGAAAACAGAATTCAGTTCTGATGTTCACTTTATCTCTAGRCAGCGGTACAGCAAAAACTACAGATCAGTAGCACAATTATCTGGGTCATTATTACAGCAAATCCAGTAACTGAGTAGCACAGTGATGCAGGCTGAAACAAGAGCAACTCCAGGAACCCCCCAACACTGGGCCAAACTTCCTGGCTGGATGCACAAAGACATGTGACCATGGGTGTCAGGAAGGCTGGCAGAAAGCAGAGCAAGAATTACTTTTCCTTGGCAAGGAGCTGGGGGCAGCCAGCAAGGTCAGGTTCAGAGGACAGGATCTGTGCTGTAGACCAGGCCTAAGGGTGGCCCAGACTCTCTGTGCTAACCAGGTAATTTGCTCTTTGCCTAGTTTCCCTTGTTTTGGTTCAACATGCCTGCGATCCTGAAGGGCTGGATGGATAGAGTCTTGGTCCAAGGCTTTGCTTACGATTTGTCAAAGGCTTRTGATGGTGGTTTGCTCCAGGTATGGTTTTGGAATTGTTTTWTTAAGGTCAAGGTTTGCACYATGTTCTTTKGGCCTTGTTTATTCTTTCCCATTKTAGTTGTTTAGAGCTCTCWSTTTACTCTATTCTGAARTAACRCTTTGGTAACATGTTGAGTAAYTTTCTGGGTTGTTCACWCTCYCYGGGGTAGGAAAACRAGGCTGCAGTGGTTCCTAAAGGCTTAAGCAATCTCCTAGAGATGTTTACTTAGCCTACTATATGGGCTTTATAATCTATTAGGAGTTTCAGTGTGCACTGGGACAGCACACAGATTGAGAACAGGTTAAATCAATCAATTTCCCATAACTACAGTCTGTCATTCTTCCCAACACCATAGGACTGCCCTTATCTGTAATGACTGACACGCTAGGTGCCAAAGTCCTGTTCTCGGATTAGATGTCCAAGGTTGAAGTTGAACTATAAAACTTAATCAGAAACCTGACATACCCACATTATGAACCTCTGTTGCAACTATTTTGAACCTATTCTTCTATGTAGCTTTTAATTAGGTAAGAGCAATATCACTCCATGTCAATCCATACATTTTTGATTTCCCGCTGCACTGGGAATATCCTTGGAAAATTCTGTCCCGGTATCTGATGGATCTTATTTGGTAACAGCTGCRCCATCAAAAAACAATATTAGTTTCACATATCTGTTTGCTGTGTGTTAATCTGTTACTTCTGATTGTCTTAACAATTCCAAATATTTCAGTTCCTTTAAATTTTGGAAATGGCTGCCTCAGTGACATAAAAAAGGCATAATCCCAAATGATCACAGCTGCRTGTGGAGTACAGGCTCAAGACACTTGGGATACTGCACTGGAAAAATGTTAGGATTACAGAAGCTAAAACTGAGATGAAAAAAGTTGAGCACATAGTTAATGCTGTAGTCTCAGAAGCAGAATGGTTAAGCAAACCCAAGTTTGAAGGGGGACTTTAGCAAAAAATTTCTGCAGTCAGAGAGGAATAAATATTTTCACAGTAACAGAGGGTTTTCCAGACACAGTTTTCCAAATGTTGCATAAGGAAGAACAAGGATCAGCCCTCCTTCACTCCAAGGTGTCAGCTGTATAATTCCTTTTCTTTTTAACCCATCTCTGTGCAAAGCCTGGACACTCAGTCCATTGATGTAGTTATATGACATCAGTCTTTGCCRCAGAACTGCCAATGCTTGCAACATCTGGGAAAGAAGAGGAAACCTCCTTCTCTAGAAATTCATGCTGTCCAGGTTCCCCTGAATGTCTCTTGAACTGTTCAGCCACTCTTCTTCAAGCATGTCTAACTCAAGCACCGCTTTCCAAATTCTAGGACAAATTATCCCTGTTTTCTTTCACCACGGGAGGAAGCAAAGAGAAGTATGCAATCAGAGGTGATATTCGCTATCTCCTATGGCCCATGCAGGTATAATATATAAATTTTTGGTTACTGTTTACCTTAATTTTTATTATTCCAGCTATTTCTAAATGATTATTTTATTGATTCTCTTTTACGAAACATAATAAATAATTAAGTTGCCTGCTCCAAACATCTGCAGGTTATAAACTGGGCTCTAAAATCCTGAAACTACTTCAAAAGTCCACAGCATTTTAAAGTTCTGTTKTCCCCCTTCCTCCAGCTTGGAAACTTTGGAAAACATATGCTATCAGCCTTTCTAGTGTCTCTGGTGTTACAGGATTTCCTTT